TGCTGGCCCGAGCGCCCCACCATCCCTGCATACTGCTGTTGGGTAGTGCTCTGTGAGGTTCTCCCAGCGGTGGCAGCTGTGGTGCTGGCACCATAGCCACTAGCACTGTACTCTGCAGTGCCATAGCCACTCGTGCCATAGGCAGCTGCTCCATAGCTCCCTTGAGTGTAACCATACTGGCTCTGTGCTGCCCCAAAAGCAGAATTTGGGCTCCCGTAGGCACTGCCATAGGTCTTGTTGGCTCCGTTGGCATAACTCTCACCACGCTCACGGTCTCTGAAGCCACCTGAGTCTCTCCGGCCCTCTTTCACTCCCCGGAGCCTCCTGTCACACTCTTCCTGGTACATCAGGTTAGGGTTGTTTACTGAACTGCTCGTTCGGTAACGAGAACGACCTCCTGGCGATGGATATATTAAGATTTAGTACTGTGAACAAGGCTCAAACAATGAACTCTGGTACAATTATGCCACCCTTTCTCCCCCTCTACAGCCACAATTTAGCCACCAAGGAGCAAGTTCTTTTGACTGACTAAAACTTCCCTGCACAGCTGTGCATAATATGCCCCATCACTTTGTTCAAGGTGTAAATACGAAGTTTAGAAAGGGTTCTTAATGCATGTGCTTGGAGACAAGGTAACAGAAGAAATTCATGACTAATTTGGAAATATAAGGAAACTTATTATTCCTTCCGGGAACGGAAGGAAAAATAAGTCCCAGACCCTGAAGGCGAAATCAGTGTATCCCTTTACTTACTTCAATTTTGCACATGCGTGCACGCACATCTTGTTGCCTGTGCTTAGGTAGGAGCTGCAGGAATTCATTAATTCAAGCAAAATTAGCTCTGTGAGGATCTTATCAGGAGAAAAAAGAATTTCGACAGCTATGGTAAAACAGTGGAGTACCTCTCTGCTGAACAGGTAAAACTACACCTACAAAACATGCTGAAACCCTGGCTACAAACCAGCTTTATTAGGCTTCCCAGGGAAATGGTGGAATCACCATCTCTGGAGGTGTTCAAAAGCCATGCAGATGAGGCCCTAGTGACATGGCTTAGTGATGGACTTGGCAGTTCTTGGGTGAAGGCTGGACTTGATGATCTTAAAGGTCTTTTCCAACCTAGCTGATTTCACGATTCTGTTAGTTTGTTATCTTAGACTTGCACTTCCTACTTCCCTTCCCTCTTCTAATCTTCCCACCCTCAAAATGGGGAACTTATTCCCTGTGTAGCCCTTTTCCCATATGCCTTTACCTCCACCACCACCTCCTCCTCCTCGGTGGTCCACAAGCTGCATCAGTTTTGGATTGATGGCTTGATTGGCTTCTTCCAAAACTTTGATAAGCTCCCTGGCTTGTTTCAGGTTTCCTGGTGTGAAGAAGGTGTAGGCAGTACCTTTGTTGGTACTACGTGCGGTACGGCCAATACGGTGCACGTAATCTTCAGAGCTGTTCGGATAGTCGTAGTTTATCACAAATTTAACATCTTCCACATCTTGTGAAGCGCCCACGTGCGAAGCACAGTGAAGGGGGTAGGGTTGAGGAAAGGGGAGAAGAAGAGAGGACGTGCCAACGAAAGGTGGGGAGCACGAATGCAGGTGACAGTAATAAGAAAAAAAAATCCAAAGTTAGTAATTGCATGGAATAAACACAAGACAGACTCATCCCAAAAGAGTAGACTTAAATTTATCCTCCCCAGAATGCATTTCTCTATCTTCCTGCATCCAAGACACCAATGTCTGTGAACAAGCCAACTGAATTTTGTACTATTTTTTTAAATTATTTTTAAAAATGCAATCTGGAAAGTGAAAATGCCACCATCAGACAGAGCAAACTGGGGTGGAGGAAGGGCAGAACTGCCACAGTAAAGCTTTTACTCTGTTGGGAGAAGTCTAACAAATAATAACAGTAATGAGATCACTTACCTTCCACTCAGTAACATGAAATAAAAAGCAATCTTAAAAATATTTACTTTTATAGTCCTAATAAAATACAGTGACTACTTTCCCTTGCCTAAAGCTTAAGCCACTCAAATTACATTAGTGTTATTCAGTCAACTCATCAAAAATTATTCAGACCTACAATATCTTAACTCAGCTTTGTAGTTATCACCAGAATGCTTGCACTAACATTTCACTGTGCTGTTCCATGCAGCACTGGTAAGATTCTGTAATTTTGACAATCTTGAATTCCATTAGCAAATCCCTTCTTCCAATGTCAGAGGGAAGCAGGAAATTAAGTTATCCAAATTGCTCTGTCTGCAAAATATTAAAATTTAGGAGATTAGAACTATGTGCCTTATGGGAAGAGACTTTGTAAACTTATGGGACCGGAACAAAGTAAATGTTAGTGCAACGCTTCAGTGGAAGCACCTAACGTACCAAAAGCACCTATTTACTCTCATATATAGTATTTTTTAAAAGCATGGTATTACAGTAAGTACCCTAACAGCTCACAAAAAAAAGAGATTTAAAATCTGCATTTTAAGAAGAATATTCTGAAAATATCCAAGATAAAACACAGATTTTTGTGATTTCCTTTCTTTTTTTTTTTGTTTGGTTTTGTGTTTCGTTTGTTTGTTTTAAAGAGAGAAACATTCTCTGTTTGTTACCAGACCGATGCACACTCCCTCCTCCTGTGGGAAACCGCTGCAGCCGATCCCGTCTCTTTGCCTTTTATTTTTGGCGGCCTCCTTTCGAAAACTCCGCCCTCTGACACGGGACCACTGGAGCGCGGGGAGCATGCATCAAGGGTCCATGGCAGCGAGAAGTCCCCACACACGCTCGCTCTGTGAACTGGCTTAGACGCTTCTCTGTAGCCCCATTTGGTTGTGAAGCGCCGGAGAACCTGGCTTCAGGTAAAAGTTTCAGGTCCTCCAACGCTTTTTGTCCCCTATTCGGGGTTCTTGGGGGCAATTGTCAAAAAAATGAAGATAAAAAATTACATCCAAAGGGTCAGACTGCATCTATTGCCCAGACTGCATCAATTTCAAAGGGGTTGTAGGAAAAATAAAAACAAGAGGGTTGTAGTGACAAAGAGGGGGACTTGACGTCTGTTTCTTATTACAGCAAAGGGGGGGGCTCCTCAGTCTTTGCTGACTCCAAAGTCCTGAATCACACCAAAAAAAGGGAGTGAGAAGGCAGGTTTCACAGGGGGCTGCGCGAGTCTCCAGCTAGGGTCCTTGATGCACCAGGGGTTTTTTATAAGGGAAAGTGAAGAGAGGAGTACGTATGACAGATTGCATCTTCACAGCCAGGGTGGAACTAGTCTGACAAGCTGCAGGCTACATGATCCTCAGTCAGTCCCATTTTGCACATCCACCAGTAGCCAAGTGACTTGAATTACCACAGAGGATACAAGGACGTGCTTTCCCAGCAGAAAGCACAGGGAATGGTAGCTTATCAAGGCAGACGGAACTGACTTGACTGGGGAGGAGTGGGAAGAATGGGAAGGCAGGAAGAGGAAAATGCAAGGGTGTTTTCCAGATTAGAAAGTGGTCCTGGTAGAGCACAAAGCTCACTGAAGAAAACACCAGAGCAAATACAAGACTTGGCTTCTCCAGTCTAGCATGCTCCAAAGTGTCTGCGCACACTTGCAATCTTCCTGCGGCTTTAGAAGATAATGTAGCAGGATCAAGAACTGGAACTGTCAATCATTTTTGACAGCTACCTGGGAAACGTTCCCTTTGTCAGACCATCAGAATACCCTGTGGCACAGACAGTCTCCAATTATTAATCAGGAGAGATATAAACTAGCAAACACGCTAGTCTACAGAGCTGTTTAGACCATCAATGTAGATGTGCCCCCACCCCTGCACTGAGAATGATCTGCAGCTGATATCAAAGCTTCTGTTAAAGAAAACAAAACAAAACAAATTCAATGTTTTTAGTTTAATAAACTGAACAAAAAAAATAAAGTAAAAAATAAAAAAATAAATCAGTGCAGAGAGAGGACCTCACTCCAGGGAATTATCACAAAGAAGTCATTATGGGACTCAGAACTTACCTGGAAGAAGCTTTTTTGAAACCAATGTTCCATTAGGAAGAGGGAAAGCCCTGGTGACTCAGCCAAAAGGCGCGCGCCCCTGTTTTATGTTATTTAGGTAGAAGCCTTCACTTTCCAGGATCTTGGAGGAAGTCGTCCAGAAGTTTGCCAGTTAAGGGACTTATTTTAAGAAGCAGCAAACTCAGGGCCCCAAAACAAGCAGAGATGTTGTTCAGTAACAAGAAACAGACTCTGGTACCTTTCCCCCTCAGCTCAGGTGAAGTGGAGGATGGGAAGTGGGGAGACTGTTTTCTGAAGTGTTATCCAATTGAGTAGTTTTGGGGGGAGTGGTTTGGTTTTTTTTGAGGGAGAGGAGGCTTTTATGTTTTAAATGTCTAGGCAAGATGCACAAAGAAGCTACCAGCACATAGCAAGCCTGTTTAAAAAATGCTGCTAGAGAAAGCAGCTCTCTTTCATACAAAGTGGTTTCAGGCCTCAGTCCCTTCTCCCAACAGGCCCAAGTTCTAACTGCACAGGTCCAGACATGACCCTAGAGGGCAGAGACTGAAGTCCATAGAATCACTTCTCTGAGGAAGTGTCGGACGATTTTTGAGTGGGGAGGGGAAGGAGGGGTAAAGGTTGTGTGAACAAAGGCTGCAGAGTCTAGTAATGGTCTGCCTGTATTAAAGTGACCATATGATGCACAGCACAGCCCCCCTTTCAGCACACGACAAAAAGAGAGTGCAGATAGCTGAGATTTTTTAACAGACCAGAGATTTCTCTGAGCTTCTCTGCATCGATTTACAGTAATTTTGACTAAAACTTACTACAGTGAGACACTGACTCCCAAGTAGTTTATTTTCTGCCGAACTCAGGGAGGGTATTCAGTGTCTGTTATTAAACTCTGAGCACTTGAGAAGCCATCCTCCTCTTCTAGGGTGGGCAGATGCATGAGGACTGCGTTTAGCATGTAGCATTTCACAATACGAATATGCTTACTAAAAAAGGGGCACAATTGATGCATCCAGACAGATCATTTTCGTACCACCAGAATAGAGCTGTGCAATTTTGATTCAATTACGCATCTGGGTAACATGATGTTTAAAGGCCATGTATAATCTCAGTGGTCCTGCCTAGAAGGAACACAGAGGAGGGAAGGTTACGTGTCAAAGATCTGGAGCAGTGCTTTCTCAGATGTGGATACATCTGTGGGGTAAACATGCATGTATACTGGGGCTGGTATGCTCAAATCTGTGGTGTGTCATACGGGGAGAATATTAGCTATTTGCTGTTGAAATGTTCTCCCACAACTTCCTACTTGGGACTTTATCTGACACGCTCTGAACTGAGAGCAATCCATCCCTATCATCCAGCAACAAAAGCTGGATTTGGGAAAGAAGTGAGTGTGGTGGAAGGGTTGGGTTGCATAATTGGACGTCTCTTCTCCCTCTTGGCGATCGATTGGTCATGCCTAGGCCTTGCTGCAGACCAAAGCCTGTTCATTAGGAGCAGGAAGAGACTTTGAATATGAAAGAAAAAAAAAAGATTAATGTTAAAAAACGTATTTCACATGTGGGGGAAAATCACGCTTTGAATTTTTTTTTCTTTAAGAAAACATATTTCAGTCCAAAGAAGAAAAATACTCAGCAGTAGGCAAGAGTGGTCTATGTGTACAAACCTAGCCCACGAGATGCAACGTCGGTAGCAATGAGGATAGGAGCCTTTCCAGAACGAAATTCTGTAAAACAAAGTATGCTATGAAGTAAGTTTTTTCAAAAACACCAAGTTACCTGCACTTGATTTACATTAAATGCTCATTTTGCAGACTTTAAGTAAGACAGGTCAATGCCAGAAACCCCAGCAAGTCAGGACATAAGGTGTCAACTATTCCTCAAAATCCAGCTCTGTGGGTTAAGTAATTCTTCCACTGTGTTTTTGTCAAGGAAAAAAACCAGCAAATGCGAGTACTGAAATTAACAGTACCAAGGTGCAGGAAGTTCTTTTGAAATGTACCTATTTGGTATAGAGACAAACCATCAACAGGTGACCAGAGAAAGCATGTCTCAGTAAATTAAGCACAGTAGCCCAAGCTATTCTCCCCTCAGTGATGGACTCACCATTAAGCACCCAATCTCTTTCTGGCTGACTCTTGTCTCCATGGATACACATAGCTGGCCAACTGCCAAAGAGAGATGCACATTAGTATAGACAGAAAGTACATACATTAAAGGCAACAGGAAGCTTTATTGGTGTTCTGGTAAAAAGGCAAAAATTAAAAGACTTGAGAAATATTTTATCCCTGTCCTCCTAGTCTGGCTTGTATCTACCCAGCACATTTAGTGGTTTGTTTCTTGCATATTAATCCCATTGCCTACATAAACAACCATCTATGCCAAATTACATTTGCTGTATTGATACAGTCCCAATCGGCGTATCAGTATTCTGATACACTAAAAGCTGCAGAGCTTACAAATGCTCTCTTGCACTAATGCTTTTGATGGACTGGAAGCTTCTGAGAAACCGAGTCTGAATTCAGCCAAGAAAAGAATGGACAAGTTGTTCCCCAAAACAGCATCATGAACATTTAAACCTTACAGCTTTTGATCACAGTTTCTGTTTCCCACTAAAAAGAAGGGGAAGGAGGGGAGAAGCTAATCACCCATCTCTGCGCATCCTTCGAGTGAGATCATCACATCGCCTCTTTGTCTCCACAAAAATGATAGTCTTGTTTTCCTTCTCTGCCATGATTTCTTCCATCAGTTGTATCAGTCTAAAATAGACATGAGAGACAAGATGTATATCCACACATACAAGAATATAGGAGCACTCTCTCGTATACATACACAACACACATTCCCAAAAATAAGTAGGTATCACTTACACCTAATGTTTTTTACTGTGAGGGTGGTGAGGCACTGGAACAGGCTGCCCAAAGTGGTAAATGCTCCATCCCTGGCAGTGTTCAAAGCCCAGGTTGGACAGAGCCTTGGGCAACATGGTCCAGTGTGAGGCGCCCCTGCCATGGCAAATGAGTTGGAACTAGATGATCCTAAGGTCCTTTCCAGCCCTAACAATTCTATGATTCTATGTAAGTCTGTTGTACAATTGTATGGTTAGAACGTACACAATAGAATAGGTAATTACAGTACTGACTTATTTTGTAATAGTCCAAGGTTAAATAATACTACAAATAACTTGACTATTTTCGAATTTGTATTTGGCTTACAAAGCAGTGTAGGTTCTTTAAGTACAGCCAAAAAAACCAAGTGAAATGGTAGGAAAATCAGCTTACTTATGGTCTTTCTCGCTTTCCATGCACACATCCACTATCTGCAGGATATTGTGGTTGGCACTCAGCTCCAAGTTTCCCACATTGATCTGAACATAGTCCTGCAGGAAGTCCTCGGCAAGCTGGCGCACTTCTTTTGGCCAGGTCGCACTCCACATCAGGGTCTGTCTGTCAGGCTAAGAAGAAGGGAACACTTTTAGGATTTAAGGTATTGGACTTTGAATGGGAAACCAGACGATCTGTCCTTTTACAAGGTTCACACACCCTTATCTGGTCAACAATTTTACGAATTTGGGGTTCAAATCCCATGTCCAACATCCTGTCTGCTTCATCCAGCACCAGGTATGTACACCGACGAAGGTTGGTTTTTCCTGCCTCAAGGAAATCAATCAAGCGACCTGGTGTAGCAATGCAGATCTCCACACCTTCAAAACAGAATAAGGAAAAAGAGTAAGGCTCTTCATTTGAATGTCAATTGGTATTTTTAGTCAGAATGAATCACCTTCCAGAGCAAAATTGTTTAAGAAAAAAAAAGCACCACCCTCATTCCTACCCAAGATTGAGTCATTTCAGTAGAAGCCCTAGGTTTTTTTTTTTCATTCTGAAATTACTGTTACAGTGCCATTAGAATAATAAATGCAGTATAGAAACTAAAAGCTTACTGTCAGAAAACACCAGTGAAGAGCTGTCCAACAATCGGAAGTATAATAAGCTTCTCCTCAAGCCTGACCCACCTTCGTCCAGAATTATTTAGTCTAGACAGCTTTCTAGAAAAGAGTGAACTCCAGCTAAACTCCCCATGTTAATCAAACATGAAGTTCTCCTCTTGCTATGCAGGTCAAGTTACTTCCACCTTTTGGCTTTAATACTGAGCAATTATGAACCAATAGTGACAGACAACCATCCTGCTTGTGTATGTTAGCATAAAAATGGAATTCAGATAGTCATAAACCAGTATCGGCTATGGCAATATATAATTTATACATTCCTTAGCAAGGACTGGTTTCCACCGATTCCCAAATCTCACAGGCAAGTCCTCCAGTGTCACTGAAATATCTACAAAAGATAATTTTAGGGAAGCAAGGAGATGAGGAAGAGCAAAACCCCAGCAGCTTTCTTGATACAGCACTTAAGAGATGCAGAGTATTTTGGCAACCCAGATTTTTGTGTCAACCTGGACCCCTCAGAGCTGACAAAGCTGGGTGTACTTCTAGTTTCTATAAAGCTCATACAAGAATTAGATTTCTAATGGAGCCAGTGGTCTGCATAGAGACTGAATAAACTGCCATCTCTGTTGTCAGTGATGTACTCCTCCAAAGTAAATTCACTAAGTACCCCAAAGATCACAGCTGGGGGTGGAGGAGAAGTAATTTTTCTGACTCTCTCTATTCAACAATCTTTGTTGCAGAAAATACTAAGCCATCATTAAGACTCTAACACCTGCAAGGACTGAAAGCACCGAACCTGCCCACATCCTCTAACCAAAGAGTTTTCTATCAGCAGAATACCTATTTTACAGTACTCCAGAAAGGTGTGCAAAAGCCCACCACACTGATCCTCCCAAGGTTTCTTCATGTAACCTTTGACTCTTCCATTGAAGATGCTACTTTTGAATTGGAATGCACCACCATTTCCTTGCACAGAGCTATTCCACAGGCTCCACCACATGTGTCTTTATGCCCTTTTATCTAGTGAAGATGAAAGCCAACAGCACATTCCTGCATTTGACATTACGTGTAACTAGCCCTTGAAATGAAAGTTAGGTCACTTAGGCACAGTGTTACAGTGTTGCTGCAGAACCCTGGCTTCTCAGCATTCCCAACTCCAGCCCCTTGCTATGTACAGAAAGGCAGTTACAGTACATTATAGGGGACACAAACAGAAAGAGAGCTTAGTGCTTAAGAACAATAAAGAAAACCCAAACCCCACTGTCTAAAGAAGTTTCTATACATTCAGAAATTAAGTTTGATTATTTGAACAAACCTAGGCAGAAAACTTCAAAAAGGCTTAAGGAAAATTACAGCTTAAACTTGCTGCTACTGCATTTCCTCAAACTAACAAACATGTTCTCTTGCTGTTAAGTTTTCTTATCCTCCTCCCGATGTCTTAATGATCTTCACAAGTTCAGAGAGAAAATAAAAATGAAATCTAATATTCAAGTAAGTCACTATACAACAAAGAAGAAAACCACCTCATGAATTATCATTGCAACTGGACCTTCACACTGGAGATTCAGTCACACACCCCCCTTCCAAAAAGGTTTTAAGAAGGTAATTTTATTTTTAACAGAGATTTTACAACACCCCCCTCCTCCAGAAACTGCAAACACCCGTTTTAAAATTACCTCTTTCTAGATCCCTGATCTGGGGACCTTTGGGTGCTCCTCCGTATATGCAGGTACTCTTCAGCCTTGAACATTTGCCATAATCATCAGCCACCTGCTGTACTTGCTGGGCCAACTCTCTAGTAGGTGCTAGAACCAGACACTGCAAAAGGAATCAGAATCACAGAATGTTTAGGATCATCTAGTTCCAACCTCTCTGCCACAGGCAGAAACGCCTCACACTCGACCAGGTCGATCAAGTCAACGTCCACCATGGCCCTGAACACTGAACACAGGGATGGGGCGGCCACAACTTCCTTGGGCAGCCTTTACCGCTCTCACTGTAAAGAATTTCTTCCTTGTATCTAATCTAAACCCCCCCCGTTTGAGTTTGAACCCAGTGCCCCTTGTCCTATAGCTAAAGTCCCTGATGAAGAGTCCCTCTCCAGCACCCTTGCAGGCCCCCTTCAGATACTGGAAGGCTGCTCTGAGGTGGCTACACAGCTTCTCTTCCCCAGGCTGAACAGCCCCAGAATCAATTCAGGATAACCAAGGTGCATAAACATCCCCAACTTAAGGGCTCTGCACAGATACCATAAGCAAAGTTGGACCATCTGGTCTTTATTATCTAAAACATTCAAATATCTTTAGACTATGTCAGCAATTGCACAGAATCTCAACTGAGTGGGATGTTCACATTGTGACAGTAAACATTTCTCTACTTCCTGTTCTGATCTACCAATTAAAGTACACATTAACAACACTGTGCCACACACACAAGAATGAAGAGAATCAACAAGCACTTACAATTGGGCCATCTCCTCTCTCCAAATATGGCTGGTGGTTGATGTGAACAATTGCAGGCAACAAGTACTAAAACAGAAGAATTTTAAGTCAAGACACAGGACTTCAATATTCAACACCGACAACCTCCTGCCATGACAAGTGGATCACAGCAAGAGTCCCTTTAGCCTAACATTCTTTCAAGAAACTAACACCTGATGAGAGACACAGCAAGAATCCTTGGCTATATAAAAATCAGGATTCTGCAAAAACAAATACTTGCATTTATCTGACAGAATGGAAGATTTTCAGAGCTGCTGACTAACTGTATCTGCTTTGGTATGAGCACAAAATATAACTGCTCAGCACCTCTGAAAGGAAGGCTCATTTAAATTTGGAGTCCAAGTTAGCAGAATTGAGCCCTAGTTTTTCATGAATAATAAAATTCCTTCTTAATCACTGCAAATAAAATAAATGTATTCCTCAAAGACTCAAATATTTCTTTTAACTTGCATATCAGTATGCATTGTTTTTTAAACCACAATGTAAGCCTAGACCAAAGGGAAGTAACTAAGCATCCCAAAAGAAAGAGAGACACAAAATAATTGCCTGTGAGTAAGACAGGCCAGTTGAGTTGAGACTGAAGTCTTACCCATGACACCATAAAACAAGCTTTAAAGACACGTCATTGTCTCGCTTGATGCTTGTGATACAGACAAGCCCTACTACTAACAAGTAGCAAAGGGTAGTTTCTGTAAAGCAACTAGGAAAGCTAAATAAATAAAAGGGAAGAATACATACTGCCAGTGTCTTCCCAGAGCCAGTCTGTGCAATGCCCACCATATCACGACCACTGAGGGCTAGTGGAAAGCCTTGGCACTGAATTGGAGTGGGTTCTGTGAAGTTCTGGTCCATCAAAGCATCCATCACATACTCTAAGAATTTAAGAAAAGAAAAGAATTCTTAAAAGGTTACCTGACACTTCAGAAGATCTTTCAGAAAACAGAATAGGCCTTTTACTGTTTCCCAGTAATCCTCATGATCTTAAAGAATTGCAAAATACTTACGTGGAAAGCTACACTGGTGGAAAGCAAACACGGGCTTGGGGCAGCCTTCCATCCCTCGGATTGTTATCTCTTTCTTTCTGCGTAACTCTTCAACTTCATACTATTTATGTGGGGAATAAAAAACACAAACCAAAGATAAATGCTGAATGTCAGAAGGGACTTAAAGCACATATTTCTAAATACTAATGGACTTCACACCTCTGGGTAACAGCTTTGTTAGAGAACTGAGTTGAAATAGAGATCTAAGACAACAGCTTTCCCAAAGATTTTGTTTTTAAGATTGAGCTATCACATAGCTTCTCCACTATTCAGAAGTACAAGCTCTCTACGTAGCCTAGAAAGATTAATATCTCTCCTTCCAACCAGCCCTTTGTAATGAAAAGTGTATCAATAAAGTATTTTTAGGAATGATGGCTCCTTTTTCAGAGGCCAGAAATGACAAAAAGCTTCAAAATTTATCTGATTCTAGTAAGAAACATGTTTCATGTGACAGTGCTAAGAACTAAACAAAATAAATAGGCCCTAATATACTTTGCCCAAGCTGAAGGCAGGGCAGTCCCCTCCTTCAATTAAGACATTGCAGAGTGGTTAATCACAGAGCTGTTCCTGGACGACTTGTAACTCAGCAATGTTGCTTGGAATCTTTTCAGAACCAGCACTTCTTTCCTGCATGAAAAAAAGCCCAGGCAACATCATAATGACAACCTAAGACCTCCCAAGTTTTTATAAACTTCTTAAAATATTTCTGAAATGTGTATCCACATAAGCATAATTTTAGGCTTAGAATTAGTGTTTCATCTTTGTCTAGGCTACCTTGCAAGTCCAACTGGACTTTGCAACATGCTTCCACAACTCATGACCTTATCCTAATGCTCATTAAATATCAACAGAAAGATACACATCAAACACCAAATGAGTGCTTTATCCAAAGCAATAAATTTATTATTTGTGAGAATCTCTTGAGCTTGAATGAAAAGGTAAAAAAAGAAACCAATTTTTGGGAAGAAATGTGAAAACCCTTTGAGTTTGCCAAAGCAAAGACAGCTACAGCAGCTAATGCTGACTGTGGTTCAGTAGCTCCAGTTGTTTTATCTTTAAAAAGCCAGTGCTTCCTTCAATTCCTTCATGCCATATTTATATTTATCTCATGAATACTTCATGTAAAGATTCCTAAGACTATGGAATTGGATAAGAACATTTGTTTGTGTCCTCATGTTAAGGATGAAATCTCTTCATTTCTAAATATAAAAGACATTAAACAGGGGGGAAAAAAGACTAGACTCAAGCTGGGTAGGAAGGGCAGATTACTATATCTATGGAGTAAACATAAAGTACTGTATCTAGTTTTGAGCCCCCAATATAAGAAGGACATTATTTTACCAGGGCATGTCCAATTATGGGGAGAAAGCCAGAGGGTGGTGTACAGACTGTATGACAAAAGACGGAGTGCTGGGTTTGTTTAACTTGGGACAGAGAGGACTAACACAGCAATTTAACTACAACTTTCAACTACCCAATGGGTCACTACATAGAAGATGCTGCAAATAAGTTTTTTGGGGGGACTGAAATACCATGAAAACGTTAAGCCATGGGACAGACACCGAGAGAGGATATAAAAATTTCCCTGTCCTTGGGAATATTCAAACTCAAAAGGACAAGGTGCTAAGCAACATGCTCTGGTTTTGTGGTTAGCCCTGTTCTGAGCAGAGAGTTAGAATAGAGATCTCCCCATGATCTCTTTCAGCCTGAATTATTACTATGGTAAAATACTACTTTTTAAACTTTTCTCATGTATTTCTGTAACTCTTAATTAACTATAGTTTAGGTTCTTTCAGGGCCTTCCCAGTACTACAACTCTGTAGTTCTCCAAGTCTTATTTACCCTGACAAATAGCTAGACCACACACGCATTATGATGACAAATTACAAAAAACCAAATGTAAAATATTCTCATCTAAAAATCAGCTAACAGCAGAAACGTCACATTTGCTAATGTTAAATACTGAAGGCAACTAGAACCAGTATCCTGGGGAGTATACATGTACCAAACTAGCTCAAGGAAGAGACAGTTCTATTACACACTTCCTCAGGCTTCCAAGTTTTTCCACTCGTGACATTTTCTGTTGCAGCAAAATGGAACAGACAGACTGTGAAAACCTACCGGAGTTAGCCTGGCCACTTCCGGATGCTCCACGTAAAAATTCTTCTCAAACTTGGGCAGCTCATTTAAATCCCATTTTTTCTTCCGTAAACGTTCTCCTGGATTACCAAATTTCTTTGGAGGAAGCGGACCTCCACGACTTGCTCCAAACCTGGGAATGTCAATGTTAATTGTAAGAGAGTACTTAATTAACCTGGAATCTACAGGTTTCTTAAGCATTTTCCATTCTCTTTTCCACAAACTGACACATAAGCACAATAACCCAGAGTAAATCACTCCTTGCCTACCACTATGATGGCAAACAACTTCCTGAAATAACATAACTTTGCTTTAGTCAGTTCTAAACCCCAAATCTTCATCCGGTACAGCCATTTGCAAATCACTGTCTTAAAGCTCCTGTCTCTTGGTTTCTGTCCTCCCTTGGGACAACTCTGTGGGAACAGTTACAGCACTTAACTCTTCTTGAAACTGACAGTACACTTAAAACATGGTTAGATGAAAGGGATGATAAAAATCTCTAATTGCAAGTTCCTTGTATCTCTCCCAAGGTTAGTTTTACACAAAAATAGCTACTTCACTGTCTCCCCCTCTATGTTTTTCTCCTTTCTTATCAAGTAAACCAAGAGTGAAGAACAGAAAGTAACTACATCCAGCCTGAAGTCCATCTGTGAACCTGGAATCAAAGCAATTGAAAAAAAAAAAAAAAAGTTTTTTTTTTCCTTTAAATCAGAGCCTGAAAGAAAAAAACACAAACCAAAAACAAACCCAAAACAAAAAAGCATGTGGGAAAAATCACACCCTCTCTCAAATGCTTTTAATGAAGACTCAAGAGTTAAAAGCTAACGTTTACTAAAAAAACTCCTAACTAGCAGAACAACTCAGGAGTTACTACTTTTACTCTCTCACCTAAGTTTTCTTGCTCACATTAAGTCTTCACCCAGTCAATGTAATACAGTTTCAAAGGTTAAGAACTAACCGTAATGGCTTATTAAGGCATTAGACAAAACATGAGCTTCTGCCAATAATCTGGAAGAGTAAGTGAAAAGTGAATAGCACAGTGTCCTGGGTTCAGCTACAGCAGCCATTTTTTTCTTCTTCTTAGTAGCTGGTGCAGGGCTGTGTTTTTGACTTTCAGCCTGGGAACAATGCCGATAACAACAATGTTTTTAGTTGTTGCTCAGTAATGTTTACTCTGACCAAGGACTTTCAGTCTCATGCTCTGCCAGGGAGGAGGGGAAGCCAGGAGGAAGCAGAGACAGGACACCTGACCCACACTGGCCAAAGGGGTATGATTATCTACTGTGAATATTATGAAGTATGTATTTTTAAAATTCCACCAAAAAAGTTACCGTGCTCTCATTAATATCCTCCAAGCATAGCAAAAGATATTTTTCCTAATGCTATCAGGTCAAAATTTGTTTTAATTCAGATTTTGCCTAAGTTTTCTGCAAAACATGAATTCATGAGAAGTGCCCATATAAAACAAGACTTCTATTTAGATAGCAAATCCGAAGTGTCTGCGCCTAACCCAGGCAGTCAGCTAGCAAAAAAATCATCTATTAATAAAACAAAACAAAAGCAACAAAAATCCTAACACAGTCTTCTGACAAGTGACCTCAGGGGAGATGACTACTAAAAAAGAAAGATCTGAAATAAATTTCTGAATTATCTTAAGCACAAGACTTTCTGTTCGGCCATTAACTACATTTGTCTTTAAATTGCTTCCTGTGCAAACTACAAATTACAGTGATTGACAGACCAGAAAAAAAAACCTTAAATCAACACATTAACAAAAAGAAGGGGTTGCACTGTTGGAAAAGCTAAGTATGGTTGATAATTTAACTTAAAACCTGATATTCTTTAAGTGTTTGCTTTGTTGCAACTGTGCATTCCGTCTCTTCCCTCTCCTATGAATATCCCTTATTTTCTCGGTACATCTACGGGATCCCCCAGACAAGCTGCATAATCAGCAATTTTTGTCACATGAAAAGCCTGTGAAAGGCAACTTCAGAAATTTGTTTTAAGCATTACATTTCTTTCAGATCAAAGTGGAAAAAAGGTATAGATTTTAATTTACAGGCACATTCACCTATACTGGAGGTGTCTGCTGTTGGTCATGCTCACTTGAGCTAAAAATGACAAATATTTCTGTATCCAAGTAGTTCTAACAAAATCCATAGTCTCACTGAAGTCAACTGGAGGTTCAAAGGGTCAGTGAAGTCTCATAATGAAACACATGAAGAACTGATTGCAACACTGGACACTGAAAACAACTGAGAACTGTAAATACTTGCTCCACAGCTATCCAGAGGGAAGAACTGATGTATTTTATATAGAAGTCAAATAGTTTCAGTTCTCCAGACCTGACAGAAGTGAGCCCTGCAGCAGTCCTTGAGCACTGCCTCTGCTGAAGTTCATCAGCTAAACTGGCAGTAACTGACACTTTACATTCCAATTACAAGTAAACCGAGATTCAAATTCCAGTTAACTGATTTAAATCTAAGGTTATTCCACTGATTTGCAAACAGTTTTCAAGTGTTAAATTCAGACTGACTCAAAACAATCTCTTAAGGTTAGTGGTGCCATCATTTCTGGGGCAGAGCTGAGTAAATTTTTATTACATTCCAGAGCAAATTAGCTCAACTTCCATTCTAAGAAGTCACCTACAACTTGTTCTCTGACAGGAGGGAACCAGAAAGACTGTATTTCATTTGGTTAGCCTATGAAAGAACCAGCACTGAGAAGGTGATAAACTTTAAAACGGCCCAAAATTTTATAGAGGTTATTTATGATGTATGATGGCTGTTAAGGTATGAAAATATTTATAACCACTAGATATATGTAACAAACTGAACCCTGATGCATTAAAGCTTCCAGGATAACATGCCAAGAAAAGGATTTTCCATGCAAGTGTCCAAAAACTTCACAAAGCAGCATACAGGCACTCCTTTCACTTATGCAAACCCCCTCATCTAAAAGAGAAGCACTCACCTATAATCAAAGTCTTCACACAAGATGAGATTGCTAAGGCACGCCAAGTGTTGTGACAACACTTTGGACGGTGTTCTTTTAAGCAACTGTGTATAAAGCTGCATACTCAAACTCACTCGCTAAACTCCAAAAACAGCTGGGGTCTGAACTATCTCACACTTGCCAAAGCATTTACTCCAGTGTTCTGAGCTGGAAATCTCACAGTGGAAAAACACCAGAACCCTCCTCTGAGAAAAAAAAAAAATGAAAGTATCTTTTAATTTCAGAGTGTGAAATGTGGGTGTAAGATAAAGCAAGGATACAACTAATCTCTCTCCACAGATGACAGGAAACTACATGTTAAAATGCACTGCAACATGTAACAAAATATACACAAATCTCCCAGTGGGGAAGGAAAACAATAAAGAAAAGAAGTAAGTGGAGGAGACTCATTAACTGAGATCTAGTCTTCATTTTAAGAGAACCCACATGATATGTTTATTGTCAATCCTTGAGAATGAAGGCCTACCTACTTTTGAGCTGAAGGACGGAAAATGCCACTTTCATAAATAATTCTAACTTTCTCTTGAAAAAGTCCTGGGATCAACATCTTAGTACTTTCGAACTCTTTTAAAAAAGCTCAAGTCCCAAACTAGTCATGTACTATAATGTCATTGTATTTATTGCTGCCATCCTCGGAAGAGGAAAAAAATACTAATCAAATCTGCAGAACCCTTTTGCAAGCCAAGCTTCCTGTAAACAGCCGATTCAAGAGTATCAAGGACTGGGCCTCTGCAGTGCCACACAGACAAGTCCTGTTTGACTGCTACGTAAGCTTGGTCATGCTTGTTAAGCCTGGTCCAGAGCCAGGTTTACCGAGATCACCCTCCCGACCATCCAAGTCCCCCGCATGGCAGCAGCTTTCTATCTCATTTCCTCTCACGATAAAGCCCGGGAGCGCACTGAGAAAGCTCTTTCACCAAATGCCATCTTTCCAGTCAGTCCAGAAGGAGCAATGACAACCAGAAGGGCAGACCGCCCAAACACCCTTGTCAGGGCCACCAAGACCTTGGTGGCTTGGGGTGGAGGAAGAAGGATAACGAAGGGTAGCAGAAAATAAATGGAGGAGGGAGGAGGGGGAGGAGGGTACGCAGGCCTTCAAAACTGCAAGCAGGGACACACTGTTACACACAAACGATGGAAAAGCCAAATAAACCCCTTCCCAACTCACCACCCCGCCTTGCTGCCAGAACCCTACTAATGAAGTCTCCAGCTCCCCCCACTCCCAACAGGATTTCTGGAGCAAAAGCTCCCTCAATAC